ATTACTGGTAAATTACCTTGATTTTTTATTTGTTATAATAACTTTAATAAATTTTTGTAAATTATCTTCCACAGGATCAGGTTATTGGAGAGGACAAGCTTAAGTATGAGTTATTAGGTGGTTGTACTGCTTGTGTGGCTGTCTTTATTCATGGTAAACTGTTCATAGCCAACGCTGGAGACTCCAGAGGTGTCATCTCTATTAATGGTCAGGCACATCCGATGTCATTTGACTTCACCCCTGAGACAGAAACACAGCGCATTAGGAAACTGGTACAGTATATTTTTTGTGAATAATTAATTTTCATCAAATGAAATTTTCTGGATGGAGCCCAGTCATCTTCCTGATGCTATCATACACTGATTGGTGCCACACTATCAGGTGCTGTCAGTCGTTGAGTTCTATTGGCCTACCGGGGACCACGAGCCAACCTTCAAAAGAGGTGCAGTGAGTGATGGCCTATGAAAATTTTACATTTAAAGTTTAATCATACTTGCCACCACTAGGAAAGCTCTCAGAAAGGTAGGCTAACCAAAATAAACTACTGCATGGTTTAAAAATAAGACCGCATCCTGAAAACTGCTAAAAGAACACTGCCAACAATGAAAACAAACCAGAAATTTCCTGAAACTAGCACCAGCTAATTTGCCACGCTTGGGTGGGGGGGAGGCGTATTGGCTCAACCTGTTCGCTCCACTTTCAGCTTTTTTTCTAAGCTGATAGTGCGGTTCTAGTCGCTCTGGCTCTGGTCTCCTGTCATCAGCTAAGTGATGTTGATTAGGACCTTGCCTTGGCAAGGTCTACTAGGGGCAGGGTTACCTTATTGGACTCTGTAGCCTGTTGGGGTTTTATTGAGCCAATTGAGTCTCGGCTGTTTGTTTGCTACTTTTGGCTATTTGTAGCCTGTTTGGGCTATAAGGAGCCCAGTTTTGTTATCAGCTGTTTTTGTTAGCTGCTTCGACTCCTGTGGTTCTAGCAACTCTACTTGGAGGCTGGTTATACACATTTACATAGCGTGAGCCATGAGTTTAGTGAACTTGGAGCTGCATGTGCTCAGGATTATGTTCCCAGTGTGCTCATGGAGCACTGTGCAGTGGAATCTCGAGTGACGAGCGGCTCCAGTTACGAGCATTTCGAGTAACGAACAAGCTACTCGCAGAAAATATGTCTCGACTGATGAGCTTTCCCCTCTATTAACGAGCGTTCCTGCTGGTTCTTGTACACCTCCGAAGACAGTTTTGTTGTTGTTTCACAAGACGAGTTTTCCACGTGACGAGCTTGGTTCCGGAACGGATTAAACTCGTTAATCGAGGCGCCACTGTACTTCCTTTGCAAGGTCAGGGTTTTCTTCTCTAGAGTGTTGGGGATGCATTCTCTCTTTAGGGGGGGGGGGCCTCCTCACTTGGGGTGGTCCTCACCCTTCAGGTAAGTCTGTGGTCTGTGACTATCTTCCCTCGGGTTGGAAGTGTTTTTGGTTGGTGGGGTGCACTGGGAGTTGCACGATCAGCTATTCTGTTAGTACCTAGGAATGCTGACGTTTCTCCCTAGTTGCTCATTTTCTTGTGGCTTGGTCTTGGGGGCTAGGGTCTTTTGTTTTGTTTTTAATTTACCCCTTTTTTTGCTTGGGGTGCTGCTTTTCACCTTATTAAGTTCACCTAGGATGTGTGCGGCTGACCCCCTTCTTGCTTCCTTTTACTTTTCCTTTGACTTCGGGTAGCTAGGTTGCCTGTTATCTGCAGGGGCTCTACTGGTGTAGCATTTCCATTGCCTGGGCTTCCTGCAGGGCACGTACCCTGCAGGTGATGGAAATCCCCTACGGACTTGGTTGTACTGGATACCTTTTCCGAGCCTGCTCTTGCCAAGATAACGAGCGGGAGTACTAGTTGCATGTAGAGTTGATAGTCTCTATTATTTTCTGTTATTTTCTTTTCTTTAGGCTGGAGTTTCTTCGTTTTACTGACTGTAGATAGCAATTTTACCGGCTAGTTGCTTGTTTTGGTTCGCTTATCTTTGTGGGTGCCCACCCTGGTCAATGGCAGATTATGACAATACCAGTACTTTAAATGTAAAGTGCCCATATGCCATTGCTCCCTGCACCTCTATGAGGGGATCAGGGTCGGGCTCATGGTTCCCGGTAGGCTGAGAACTCCAGTGATTGATGACCCCAAACTAATATAGCACATATCAGTTCGGACAGCTTCAGAGAGCCTCCTGGGCTTTGCCCAGAAAATGGCGTTTCATTACATTCAACGCTGGTTTTTTAGGTCCAGATAGACACAGTCAACCCAACCTTCTCTTTCCTGTATAAACTCTGTGGCTCTATCATAAAAACTATGTAAAGGAACCATGCGAACCTGGCTGTGCTTGCTTACTATATTCATCATGTTCTTATATAGATTCATGCAATAACCTTCAACTAAAGATCCAACATAGCATCCCAGTGCCTGGGTGTCCTGTTTGGTCAATTCTTTCAGACCGTGGAAATCTCCTGCAGGTTCGGTGGTCCATTGGATATTCCTTTACCCCCTGAGCCTGCTTTCACTTTCCACGAGTTTGAGGGGTTGCACATTTTCCATGCCATGATGACGTTCATTGTTTTGTCTCCACCATATTGTCTGTTGGCTCGGTGACACCTTCGACCCGGAATCATGTGGGTCTGTTCCCCACGTGGCTCTCTATTTTTCTGACTCTCCCAATATGGTTAGGTCTTATAGGTGGTGACCTATTGCGTGTTGCATGTTAGGTTCTCTAGGTTGCAGCAGTCTAGGTTGTGTGCCTGTTTGTTGGTCCTGGAGCTGTCCCATTTGGTGTTTAGGGGCCTGGAATTGGAGGTGTTGGTAAATTCTTCCTTGGTTTCATCCACATCTTCTCTTCCTTTCCCTATGAGTGTGGTTCACCCTTCTTTTTACCCTCTTCCTCCTTGCTTCTGGGCCTGAAATGTCTAGTTCGGGGTAGGGTTTAGCTCGGGATGTGGCACAGCCAGCGCCAGGGCCTGCCCCTTCCATATTGGATCCAGTCTCAGTTGAGCCCACTGTCTGTCCGATGCTTCTGGGTCTTCTTTTCAACTAGCCTCTTCTTCCTTTGAGGCCTTTTCCTTGGGCTCTTCTTTTCTTTCTTGGGTGTTGGTGAGGACACTTGCTGTGCCCTGGGGCCCTCTACTGCGGCTTCTGAGGTTAAGAGGAGGTAATCAAATATGAGTATGAGTATACTATGGGTACATCTCCCTCCAGGGTTAATTTCCATGTGCCTCTGAGCTCGTTTGGATAGTCCTGGAAATTTCTTCCTTGGGTCCCTGTTGTGGAGGTTCAGGAGCCCCCTTTTTTTTCCATACATCCTTTGAGACCCGGATTACACCTCAATAATGGACCCCCCTTCCTCTTTTGATCATAGGTCTTCTCAATATTGTATGCACTACAAGGTTCCAGAGTCTTCCTGGCTGGCAGACAATCTCTTGTTTTTGATTGGAGCTTGGCATGGGTTTTGTTGTACTGTAACTGCACTCTGGAGTGTTGTGAGGCTTCGTCCATGATACATGTTTTTTTGGGCTCTTCTTTTGAGTCTCCCAGTGACTGCCTGTTTGATTTTGCTCTTCCTAGGGATGTGAGTCTAGTGCATCTCCATGCCCAGGTTCTCCTGTTGTTGGGGGGTGCTTGTGGTGGCCAATCTTCATGCTTGTCTGCATCTGTATTCCATCATGCACTCTTTGGGGCTCCTTGAGCTGCATTCTGATTGGCTCACAGAGGATGTCTTGAGTACTCGGTGGGGGCTTAATGTGTCTTGGCCCGTGCTGTTGTCATTGGCGACACCCAACAAGCTCTACACTCCCATTCTCTGGGAGGTGGTGGCCACATTCTTTACCTCCCGACTTACGTGTTGACAGGCTGTGTTGACCCAATTTCTGGATTTGGGGTGTGCCCTAGGTCTCCTGTTTGCCTCTTCTTTTTTCTCACTCCCTTTTCCCGAAGACTTGGTTGCTCAGTTTGTCTTTGGCAGCTATGTCTTGTGGACCTATTATGGACCTCCTTTGTGTTCAGGGTGTTTGTTCTTGGTCAACAAGACAGTCAGGTAGGACTTGGGTGTTACCTTTTGTTGGTTGAGGTAGGCCATTGGTGGAGTCTGAGGGCAGGTTGCATGTGCTTTCCTAGGCCGGTCCTCCGTCTGGTAGGCACCATGCTCACTCATTTCAGAATGCGGTCTCTTGGGTTTGCACCGCCTCTGTTGCAATTCGACCCCTTTGATGAACTGGTTGGAGGTGGCTTGCTTGGTTTGCCAAATCCTGGGCTTTTCAGGTCATGTCTGTCGGTTTGTGGTGGGGTTGGTTGGTTCCTTTCCCTTCTGGGGGTTCAGGTCTTCCTGAGCAGGCTTTCCTCTCTCGGGTCATTTTGAAATGGGTGGCTTCAGGCGTGGTTGAAATGACTTTTATTTCTTTGGTGGGTTTCCTGCCTCTTCCTGGTGGCAGGAAACCCCGATTCTCCTAACCTCTGGTTCATCCTTGACCTTTTGTGGTTGAACTGGTTAATTCCTTATCCCAGTTCTGTAGCATGTTTGAGACGGATACTTGGATCTTTGGACCTGTGGAATGTGTATTGGCATGTCCCTATACATCTGAGGTTCAGGGACTGGCTAGGCTTTGATAGGATTACCGCTTTCAGGTCAAAGGCTCGAATCATTGTGACTCGGCTGTTGGGGGATTTGGGTTTTGGCCTACCTCAACGACTGGCAGGTGTGGGCTCCCAACCTGCCTCTGTCTGCTAGTCAGAGATACCACATAAGAGACTAGTGCACAAACTGGAGATTCAGGCAGGAATGAAAGGGAAGGTGCTCCACTGGATAAGGGAGTACCTAAGCAACAGAAGACAGCGAGTCACTATAAGGGGCAAGTTCTCGGAGTGATGACGCGTCTCCAGTGTAGTCCCTCAGGGATCAGTTCTTGGACCTATACTGTTTCTGATATATGTAAATGACCTTCCAAAGGGACTAGACTCATTCTTCTCAATGTTTGCTGATGATACAAAAATTATGAGGAGGATTAAGACACAGGAAGACAGCATGAGGGTACAAAATGACCTAAACAAACTGAATGAATGGTCTAACAAATGGCTACTAAAGTTCAACCCAAACAAATGTAAGGTTATGATACTAGGTGGAGGAAATAATAGGCCAGACACTGGATACCATATGGGAGATGACGTCCTTCACAAAACGGACAGAGAGAAAAGATGTAGGCATTGATATCACGTCAAACTTGTCTCCTGAAGCCCACATCAATTTGGATGAATCAAAAGAATAATATTGGCGGCGTATGCGAGGCTGGCTAACATCAGAACTGCCTTCAGAAACCTGTGTAAGGAATCTTTCAGAAACTTGTATACCATATGGGGCCTCGTAGCCTGGTGGATATCGCGCAGGACTCGTAATTCTGTGGCGCGGGTTCGATTCCCGCACGAGGCAGAAACAAATGGGCAAAGTTTCTTTCACCCTGAATGCCCCTGTTACCTAGCAGTAAATAGGTACCTGGGAGTTAGTCAGCTGTCACGGGCTGCTTCCTGGGGGTGGAGGCCTGGTCGAGGACCGGGCCGCGGGGACACTAAAGCCCCGAAATCATCTCAAGATAACCTCAAGATAACCACATATGTAACTCCAATCCTAGAGTATGCGGCTCCAGCGTGGAGCACCTTGTCAAGCACAAGATGAAGCTGGAAAAAGTTCAGAGGTATATCACTAGGCTAGTCCCAAAACTAAGAGGCATGAGTTACGAGGAAAGGCTGAGTAAACTGCACCTCACGTTGCTGGAAGATAGAAGAGTTCAGGGAGACATGATCACCACATTCAAAATTCTCAGGGGAGTTGATAGGGTACACAAGGATGGATTATTTAACACGCGTGGTACACGCACAAGAGAACACAGGTGGAAATTGAGTACCCAAATGAGCCACAGAGACATTAGAAAGAACTTTTTCAGTGTCGGAGTAGTTAGTAAATAGAATGCAATAGGAAGTGATGTGGTGAAGTCTGACTCCATACACAGTTTCAAATGTAGATATGATAGAGCTCGAGAAGCTCAGTAATCTGTACACCAGTAGTTTGAAGGTTGAGAGGCGGGACCAAAGCACCAAAAGCTCAACCCCCGTAAGCACAACTAGGTGATTACAACTAGGTAAGTACGGGTCCTTCTTGTCTCCCCGGGTCGACTGTTGATGCCGGCTCTTTTCTGTGGCTTTGCGAGATATCCTAGTGCCCCGGAGGTGGACACCTTCGTGTCGGCATGGTCTCGGCATCGTCCATTATATGGGCGCCATCCCCAATTACACGGCCCTCACAGCAGATGCCTTTTGGTTGGATTAGTCGAGGTGGGGTTACTGTATATCTTCCTTTTACTGGCCAGGTTGGAGTCCTATAGGGGGAGGGTTGATCCGTCTGGCTCATTGGTGGTCAGCTCAGCCATGGTTTCAGGTGCTGCTTGCTCAGTACAGGTGTACTGTATCTGAACCCGAGCATTTTTCTGCAGTGCCACCTCTTTGAGGGTCGGCCCAGTGATGTACAGTACTTTACTGGTTCGCTATTTTCCTCTCCTTTTTGCATCTGGTATTTCTGATACATATTTATTGCCATTTCTATGGTGATCAGGTGGTTTCGTTGATAGTGTCCCATCTGTGGTCTTCACTGCGACAGTATGAGGTTTCATAGTGCTACTTTTGCTACTTCATTTCTTTTTGTAATTTTTCTTTAGTTTCTGAGTGTGTGGTGCTCTCTTCCATTCTAGCTTTTCCTTGATCAGCATCTCGTGGTGAATACTATCACTACATATCATGCTGTGCTGGTGAAGCCATAGCAGCTGGTATTTGGAATCGATACTATCTTAGCTCCGTTTCACAAGTTTTGTTGTGCATTGTTTCAACTCTGGTCTGCTATAGCACTGCCTCAGCCTGCCTGGTCTCTGGATTGTATTCTGTTGTTTTTGTCTTCTCAGTTAATGATATCCCCTTAGGTCCATAATTGTTTCTTAAAGTCTTTGGTTTTGGTTTCTCTTGCTTCTGCTTGTTCAATGGATAAGCGTCATGCTCTGCCACTACCTTCGTGCCACCAATTCTGCCTCTGTGGATGCTTTGTGGGTATATCCTCTCTCCTTGCCAAAATACTGTTCAATTTGCATTTGTGTGATGTGTTGAGGACTTCTTTTTCATTCATGTATCAAATTGGCAGAGACTAATATACTGTATTATGTATTGGAGTTACTTTTAAAGATGTTTTCTTTCAGTAATCCATATTAACATTTGCTTCATTATTAGACTGACAATTTTATTTAATCATTGGTAGGGAGCTACACATCCTGAGCTTCTTGGTGGCGAGTTTACCCACTTAGACTTCATACGGCGACCACTGAGGCGTGATCTAGGTAAACGAGTCCTGTATCGTGACCACTACATGAGTGGATGGGCTTACAAGACTCTGACACAAGATGATCTGAAGTACCCATTGGTCTGTGGTGAGGGCAAGCGGGTGAGTTTCTTTTGATAATACAGTAGAGTAAGTAAAGTACATAAAATGTTAAGCATTTAATGAATACCCATATCATGTACTTTATATTTAGTATTTATACTCTGTTCCAAATTACTGATTGATGTAAGTTTTCTTAAACAGTATTATTTTAGCTAACATTTAGGAACTTACAGAAATTCCACTAATTGGCTTCCTGAAAAAGACCTAAATTTTCTAGAGGTGGCTGAACTGTAGTTCTCAGTAACTAGCTACACAAGATAGTGCCACACAAGTTATATAAACCTTAGTAGTCTGTAGTACTGACTGGATACCAGAGCCAGAACTTTGTTCTTTTACAGAGCTGCAAAGAGCAGTGGATTGTTACTATCTCACTCATCAAGAAAACACAGAAATTCAAAGCAAAACGGGCAACTGCTTCACAGAGGAAAAAGCAACAAAGCTGCAAATGACTTCACAAATGATCCATCCAGCAGTTAGGTAGAATCCACTATAACAGTTAGCCATAGCCAAGTGCCAGTACTAACAGGAGCTCTGGCTTCTCATGTAAACAGAGCTCAGTCCTGCCACCTATATTGACTGCTGCCTTGAGCTGGCATTCTACAGGTCCCGAATTCTAGATAAGCCCCACTTATCGCCCCACTTGTGTGCACTTTGGTCTGTGTTCACCTTGAACGGCACGTGTTTATTGCTGCTCTTCCATAGACACTCGTTTGGCAATGCGCCGCAACTAATCTGATGGGTTCAGGAGCTCATCACTGAGAGGCTGGCCTACTGTGTAGGGTGCCTCACTCAGGGTGGTACAAGGGTCATTGACTTCTCTGCAATTCTCTATGGTTGGAGGCATTCAGGTATTAGTGATTAATGAGTGCACAAGGGTTTGCGTACTTGTACATAAGGCATGTCACTGACACTCTTTGCAGCCATGTTTATCCTCAGGTTTGATTTCAGTATGAATTCCTCTGGAGAGTGTCACTAATGTCTGGGCGTCTTGATTGGTTCTTGTCTTCAGGCCCTGTAAAGTCTTTTAGCGTGATTCACTATAGATTGGTCCTCCAAACCTGCACTCCCTACTTGTGAGTTCAGGGGTTGTCCATCGTTATTGTTACATGGAAGTGGTCATTTTTATTCTCTCCCTCTGCTGCTTGTTTGGTGGGTTTTACCCTCAATCCTGAACCCTGTGATGTTTGGGTTCACTAGCCCTGTTTTAGTTCCAGCCTCCATTTTTGGGGTTTTGGCTTATTTTATTTTCTAGTGACTTGGCTCCACAGGTGGCACCCATTTTAGTTTTGTTTGTCCATTTTTGTGGGTTGATGCTAAAGTACTTGCCCCAAGTTGCCTTGATCTATGAGGTTTTGAAGTTGGAGCAGCTGGTGTTTCTACTGGCACTATGTTTGCTGCTGCTCCTTTCATTGTCCATCTAGGATTATTGTATATACTTCTTGTACACCCTGTTCTTGCAGATGGTCTCTCTGTTGCTTCTCATTTTCACAGAGTGAGCCATTGACGATGCAACCTGTTAGTGGCTCTGCGAGATGTTCAGTCTTCCCGAGGGGGGGGGGGCCTTTATGTCTGTGTGGAACTGGGAGCTTCCATCTTGTGTGGCTTTGTTTTGCAATTGCTAGGCTCTAGTGGTGGATGCTTTTCTGTTGGAATGAGGTGGGGCTTCCTTTATCCCTCACCCCTAATTCAGTTGTTGCTCTGAAGTTTTGTCCAGATTGGAGACTTACACAGGCAGGGGTGATTCCTCTGGCTTCTTGCTGGCTGGCATGGCCTTGTTTTCTGGCTCTTTTGTGCAGTGTCAAAACCAGGGCATTTCTGGTAGAGCTCCTTGGTGGCTTCCTGGAGCTATCTCACTGAGATTGCTCCTATTTACTAGGTCACATCAGTTATGAGAGTTCTGTTTAGTCTATGGAGACCAGAGCCAGACTCTGGTCCCCCTAACAGAGCCTCAGAGAGAGAGACATTCTGCCACCCCATTGCAAAAGCATCTAGAAAGTCAGTGAAGCAATGCAGATAATTTCAAGGTACAAAAAGGAACTGAAACTTCGTAACCTTCCAAACAATATGAAGGAAATGATCGAATCGCTCAAAACTAGCTCGAATCCATTAGTACTAACAAACCCCCACCCGAGGGACTTGAACCCTAGCCCTCTGCCAACTCTCCAGTATTTGTCGATACCTGTCAATGACTCAAGAGGATCAACATTCCTGCAGCGGCCTGATCTCTGACTAGGCCTTCAGGTTGGTGGTCTGGCCAACCAGGCTATTTAATGCAGCTGCTGACAGCCTGATGTTTGAGTCACAGCTTGATTGATCAGGTATCCTTTGAAGGTGTTTATCAAGTTCTCTTTTTGAACACTGTGAGAGCTAGTTATACCCCATATGTGTTGATTGTTAATTGAGTTCTCTCTCAGTGTGCCTATTGCACCTCCGCTTTTCAATTGGAGAATATTTTGCAGATCCTGCCATGCCTCCTGGGCTCATTTGGTGTTATTTATGTGTGCAGAATTGGAACCAGTTCTTCTAGCATTTTCCAAGTATAAGTTATTATGTATCTCTCTCACCTGTGCTATAGGGAATAGTACTAGTGATAGTGCTCTTGTACTACTAATAGTACAAGAGCACTAGTGTCTTAAAGTATCATTAGTGTGGCATGTCTTGTTTGAAAGATTCTTGCTATCCAACCTGTCATTACCCTATGCGTGAGATAGAAAGCTGGTTTCCAAGGAGCAGGTCCAGAGTAAGGAAGCAGTTGGGAAAGGGGAAATCTCTGAAACCCTGGTGGGACAAGCTAGCTCAGTTGGGGAACAGAGTCACAGAGAATGAAAAGGAAATGTGTGGAACACTAAATGAACAGTTCCAAAGAGTGTTTGTGCAAACTGAAGTTTTCAGAGAACCAGATAATATGAATTTCAGAGAATAATGTAGAGCCCATAGAAGTGTCTTAAGAGGAAGTGAAAAAATTCTCAAGGAGCTGATGATGATCATTCTTTCTGCCCGTCATACTGCATGTTGGGTCGGAAGTACGACCCTGAATCCTATGAGTCTGTTCTCATTGGGTCTCTGCCATGATGGATTCCACCTCCTAGTTGGAGGCTTTCCAAACAGCAGCCACATTATATGCTAGGGTTGCCAAGTTTGAGGTTTCAGACTCATCCTGGAATCTAACAACCCCCCTTCTTTCCTTGGGGTCTTAGCAAGGATTCTGTCGTTTGCTTGTGTGTGATTGGTGGCAGGTGAGCTCTGTCTTTCAGGTGTTTTTGAGCAAGGCTAAGTATGCCCAGCTTCAGTCCTGCTTGCTTGCTCCAGCAGCACTTCCCAAAGATGTGGGCAAGTGGCAACTCCACCTGGAGCTGCCTATGCTTTCTGGGGCTCTTATTGTGGATGACCACAGGGCATATTCGCACCTGGCTGTGGTCTTACATGTCTGGGTCATGGAGGAGGGGTTCACTAGGGTCTGCTTTGGTTGCTAAGGCTTTGTGGCCTGTAGTTCTGGCTTTGGTGGCCTTACCAAAGATGCTCAACCCCCCTCCTTTGAGAGGTAGTGATGGAATTTTATTAGGCCCACCTCATGTGTTGGCAGGCCATACGAGCCCATTGTTTACATTTTGCCTGGTCTCTTACTGTTGTGGCCACCTCACCATTTTCACCTCTCCTCCTTTCCAAGAATGTCATGGCTTAGGTTATTATGGTGGGAGCCTTCTTGTGCCGCCTGATTGAACAGGTGTTATTTGCTCATGGTTTAGTTCCCCTTTTGCAGGCAGTTTGGTCGGGTACGGACTTTGTCTCTGGTCGGGTACGGACTTTGTCTCTGGTCGGGTACGGACTTTGTCTCTGGTCGGGTACGGACTTTGTCTCTTGATGGTCGGGGTCGGTCCTTGGGTAGGTCAGTATATTGGGGTAGGTCCTTGGGTTGGCCAGTATATTGGGGTAGGTCCTTGGGTAGGTCAGTATATTGGGGTAGGTCCTTGGGTTGGTCAGTATATTGGGGTAGGTCCTTGGGTAGGTCAGTATATTGGGGTAGGTCCTTGGGTTGGTCAGTATATTGGGGTAGGTCCTTGGGTTGGTCAGTATATTGGGGTAGGTCCTTGGGTTGGTCAGTATATTGGGGTAGGTCCTTGGGTAGGTCAGTATATTGGGGTAGGTCCTTGGGTTGGTCAGTATATTGACGTGCTTTAGTGATGCTCTTGACAAGATCAAGTTCATCACTTAATGATGCATCAGTTGTATGTGTACCGTATAACTGATACATTACACCACTACACAAGTATTTCACTACATCCAGGCAAACAAATGCCAATGTGCACTACATTACACTTTACCTTTGTGCCCAAAGGCTAATACACACTGCGTCACTACCTCTTGACACATACTTAAGTGTCCCTCGGTAATACACTCAATAGTGCTACCTTCTACAGACAAAATCTCCATGGACACTATTCACATTAACTCTAGTATATGAATCTTTAAAAAAAATTACTTAAGCATTCACCAAGAAATGATCACATTCATAAAGAAAATTACAGTACAGAAATTTATTAAATTACACAAAATTAACATTACAAAGCCATCTGTAATGGATCCAGCTTTGTTTTCTGTGTTTTATGTCTACCAACTTAACTTCAATCTTTTGTTAATTTGTAATTTTCTTTAAAACATTCATATTACACTTTGCATTTAATTAATTTTAATTTAAATTATGTAGTGTTCATGCTTGATTTCACTTTAGCAATAAGTTCTGAATACAGTATTAGTGCTACTCAAATGATGTACGATAGGCCCTATGGTGGTGGCTGCTTGGCCTGTCAGTCTCTCATCCCACACTTGGCCAGCAAATGGCTCACATTGGCTAATGCTGGTCAGCATTTAACTGCACTAATTACCCTAGCCACTTGCTATAATTTGCACTACTAACACTGCACTTTACATTGAATTTAGATTAATTAGTGCTACTATCATTCTTTTCAGACATCTCTTGTTGTTGGAATCTGTAAGGAAAT